ATGGCAAAAGGTCGGAAAGGGCATTTCCAAAAAACTAAGTTTTACTTCAGCTAAGGTATTTTTTTATTTAAAAATATAAAATATTTTTAAAATTTAAATTTAATTAAAATAAAGTTTAAAAACATTTATCTATATTTTCTTTGACAAAAAGACTTGAGAAAACTTTAAGAAAATGTTGTAACAACTTGAAAAGACAAAATTTGTAGAGAAAAGTTTAAAAAATATATTTACAAATTTAAAAAAAGCATTATTAAATTGATATAAAAGTTCTAAAAGTATTTATCTTTATTTTATGATAACTTTAAAAATAAAAATAAAATGAATTGAACTATAAAATCATTTCAATTGAAATTAAATAAATACCTTAAAAAACAAATAACACTTTTAAAATAAAAAATTCGATAAGGCTCTTTAAAGTAATTCAAATAAAAATCATATATATATTTGATCAATAATTTATTATAGTTAATATAATATATATAGCCAATTTGCCTTTGTGCTTAACGTGATCGGTGAATAGATTTCAGACTATGTAACTACTTTAACAGCATTTGCATCCCCCGAAAGGGCTATTAATTTTTTGGCTCGCCCAGAAAAACTCAAGATTTATAGAGCCCAAAGCTCTGTGTGGCTTAAATCGATGATGCCTTGAATATGGAATGAGGATGGGAAATGGGCATGGAATGGGAATAAGAATAGGAATGGGGAGACCCTCCCAAAAAAAAAAAAAAACATATGCCCCGGCTGCATACTGATGCGATGTGATGATGGGATCATTTCACGCTGCCCGGCAGCTGATTTTCATAGATTTATTAGCACTTTTTCGCGAGAACATTTGCCTAAATAGAAAATTTAAATGCAATTTTTAAACCACACACACACAACTTTTTATGGCGTCATTTTGTTTATTTCTTTCTTTTGTTTTTCAAGATGATGGGATGATGACACAATGGACATATATATATATATATATATATTATATATTATATATATAATCCACCCACACTGCTACTGCCTGCATTTTGCAATAACTTAGAAGGCAAATTGCGACACTTTCGGAATTTGTTCCCCTCGAAAAGAACGGGTGGTGGGTGTTGGGTGATGGTTTTTGTTGCTTTTTTCTATTTTCAACATTTACGCAATGCAATAGTCAAACAATAATTGCTCATATGCCTCTCTCTATATGTATATAGACTGTATATACTATATATATGTGGTGTACAGACGCGCCATGCAAATATTAAATTACATTGCAAAGTGAGAAACGAAAAGTCAGGCTGAGAAATTGGCTTTGCACTACATTTCTGGCATTGGTTTCCATTCCATACCGGCGTATGTTTAGTCTACGGGGCAAATATTTCATTGAATATATATATATAGAGAACTTATCACCTGGATATAGTACCTACAATTCAGACCATTTGGAAAGAGAGTGGAATGAACTCTAATGAACACCACGTTTCTGGTTTCGTTTGCATTCCAACTCAATATCAATAGCAAAAGCGAAACTCATCGAACTCCCAGACTTTGGTATCTTCTATAAATAAATGCTTGCCTCATAGTCAGTTTTTCTCAGTTTTCCTTGCAATACGTCACGATGCCTTTGGACGAGGGCCAGGGAAAACGGATCCCGGATCCAGTCAGTCGGTCTGTCTGGGAATCCGAGACAAAAAGAGAGAGGCAGCGGCAGCAGGTCAGATGGCAAATGGCTTAATGACTAATGGTCTCCCCCGGAAGCTATGTACCAAAGCACTATATAAATATAAATATATATACATGTTATATATACATATTATATATACTATATATGCCAATTGACAAAGTTAACAAACGCGGCGATATCGCCTATGGGCAGATGTTGGTGGGCATTATAGGAAAAGCGAACCAGACACTTGAAGCTGGCACCTCGCACCTCTTGCCTCGTATAAACAGTTTTAAGTGTGCCAGTTGTCCCTGCGGCTCCCCCTTTCTCCCGCACCCCCACCATTTCGTGTTGAACTTGAGCTCAAGTGGGTGGCGGAAGGGGGCGGCCTGCTAGGGGGGAGGCGGGCAGCCTCAATGTAATATTTAAACAAATGCTCGCCTGACTCTCTTCCACTGAAAAATGCATGTGATCGCAGATCAGAGATGTAATAATGCACTAATAATATATTCTTAGGCTAAAGAATAATATTCTATAAAGAAAATATTTAAAGAAACAGTTCACTAATCTTTATTATTTTTTAAACATAAAAACAAATTTTTTAAATAAGAAAAAAATCAAAGAAAATAAATTAAGTATAGATTTAGGGCCGCCCCCTTAAGTAGGCAATGCTTTTGGCTTTGCAAGACCGGCTATTTCATAGTCTCTAAATCCCGAAACATTTAGCTTATTTCAACTTCAAATTTCAATATAAAATGTTTTTTTGTTTGTATATATATACCCGATCCTGGGTAACAGTGTACAGATTCACAGACTGAAAGAGAGAGAGAGAGAGAGATCGAGACAGGCATGGCGACGGATCACATGTGTGATCGAGGGTCCAACATCTTGTGTCCATATGTTGCACAAACAAACAATCGAAACAGAAACCGTGAAGCCACGAAAACAAGAAAACAAGGAGAAGGAGGAGAACGTACTCAAAAGACCGAAGGGAATGTGCCAACGGACGCATCTTTACACAGAAAACCAAAAAGAAAAACAAAAGAAAACATAATCTGAAAAGCCGAAAAAGAAACCAAACTGAAAACTGAAAACTAAAAACGACGACAAAACAAAGTCAAAAAAAAAGCTGCGAAATGAATTTTTACTCATCTGCTGCCGGTTTTTGTCGGGGCCTTTTGGATGCTTTAATTTATTTTTCTTTTTGTTTTTGTATTTCTTGTTTTTTTTTTTTTTTTTTTTTGGTTTGCAGTTGCTCTCTGTTGATGATGCAAATATTTTGACAGTTTGTTTGACAGACAAGTGGCGGGCGGGACCCAAAAAGGGGGATACATATCAGACATTTATTGTATATATAAGGGCTAAGGAAGGGAGGCCAATCTGTCAGTGATATAAGCCATAATATCGAAAGGGGGGATAGGATGGATGTGCGTGTTTTTTGTAAACAACTTAATCTTAAGATCAGATGCCATATGGGGAAAATCATTTCAAAAATTCAATTATTAAGGGTGCCTTAATTGCCTTTGCTATTTGTTTACACCTGCTTTTTAATTATTAAAATAATCTATGACTAAAATACTATTCCTTTATAGAGATACGCTGTATTTGCATTCAAGTTCAGCCATCAATCTTGGCGGCTGGTTAAAACCCAAGATAAACGATAAAGTTTAAACGATAAACGATATCTGTATAGCGATAAAAAAAAAGATTGGCCACCTGATCGTATACGCAATGTGCGAGTGGAGTGACCGGTGGGAATACGCATACGCCGGATGGGCAGGATGGAAAACTTGGAAAACTGGGAAAACTGGGAAAACTGGAGCCTATATCAAGCTACTGTTGTCAGTGACCTCGTTACACTCCGATTCGCAGTGGCTCCTTCTTGCAGCGAAGCAAAGCCAACGATAAGCCCATAGTGCCCAGGCGATTATAGCCCATATAGATGTATATAAATATATGTATATATTTTTTTATACGGCGGACGGACGGCACAGTTCGAATTTGGCCTCATTTACGCAACTTCCGATGTGATAAAAAAGTGAGCCGCTGCTGCTGGCCTGCAGCAAAACAAATCGAATCAAAACAACAGTCGAGGTGCTGTCCGAAAAAGAATCGAACTATATATTCGTTTATATAGCACACACACCCGTACCATTTGTACTGGCGGTGTGTGAGGTCGTTGCTGCTTGATTTGAAATGTTAATTTAAGAAATTATTTCATTGCAAGACAACGGCCGGGCATCGTCTATGGGCAACATGTCATTAACACGCTGATAAGGCGCTATCATCGCGGCTCATTATGGTGGCAAGCACACACACATGTATGTGGAACACCCGTCATACAGATTGAAATTAGAGCTCGAACTGGAACAATCGACTTCTCCTCATAATAATAATTGGCAAAATGTCAAAAAAAAAAAAAAAACGAAACGAATCCGATCCGAACAATCGCAACATTCAAGAGTCCGGCGACAATTTGGAAGAAAAAAAAAAGGAAATTAATTCAACGTCTGTTCCCGACTGTGATAACCCCCGATGATGACCCCCAGGGCAGCCGAGATTTGGTTTATTTTTTTGGCCTCTTGTCGCTGCCAAATCCGGTCTTTTAACATTACCTTAACAGTGGAATAACAGAGCAGAGCAGGTCTGGAAAAGAAAACCCATTTTCCATACACTTTCGGGGCATCCATTTGTATGCTAATCGCGGGGCCTTAAGGGAAATATGTGTGTCATCTTAAATAGTTCAAGTTCGTCGGGCCAGCGGGTTGTGTCATCCAAAATGGTTTAGTTTGAGTTAAAGATTTCAAATGGGAATGAAATAGATCGGTTTGGTAGCCAGGAAAAGCTATTAGGTGGAGTCAGCAAACTGTTCATTAAAAGAAGTCTTTGAAGTCAAAAAAAATGAGAGTGTTTTGGGAAACAAATTATTCAAACTTCACTTAATTTTAAAATTTATTTTATTAATTAAATTTAAAACTTAAAGCCCAAACCGTTGATAGATGTTTGGTTTTTCAAAACTCAAGGTGAAAGTCGTTAGCTATTAAAATGCCATCTTATGCTTTACAAAAGCCCTATATCAGCCGAAGTTGCCAAGATCTGGGCTTTTAAAACTACGTATTACATATATACCTTTGATATGGTCAGTTTAAGTGTCCATTAAAAAAAAACGATCATTAAAACCCTGGCCAAAGTTTATTTAATTAATGCAAAACACAAACCCAAACAAGTGACAGCGACACACCGAATGAAAGCGAAAAGCGTTCGCTATCAGTTGGATTAATAGATTTGACGATTGATTTCTTCGTTCGATCCTCCACTTCCGGATATATGCATGTACATATATGGAACTATAACTCACCTTGGCATTGGTCAGCGGCACGTGGCAGGCGTTGAGGACGAAGGCCACGGCAAGGAGCCGCAGGAGCAGCGACCCCGAGTGACTCCTCCGGGATCCCGGCGATCCCGTCATCGTTTATTCACGGATTTAACGGTTTTTAGTGGAATTTTTATGGTATTGTTGGATTTTCTTGTATTATAAGGTATTTGGTATTCGGTTTTTTTGTTTTTTTTTTTTGTTTTTGGCAGCTATTTAGGTTAGGTTTAGGTACTTGTGTGAAGGCAGTTTCGGTTCGTATTTGAGTTTGGTTTAAACGGCTGGCAGGTTTGTGGTTAAGGCTATGGCACTGCACAGAGATAAAAATATCAACCGAAAAAATGTCGACAAATTAGTTTACGGCTTTATAATATAATATTCTTATCTAATGGAATCTCTGAAGTTACTTATCAGAAGCATTATTCCATACATTTTAAGTAGAAAAATATATATATATATAAATTCTGCTCTCGTATATTTTTTATATTTTAGCAAAGAAAACTATTTTTGTCTCTGTGCACAAAAAAAAAAAAAAAAAATTAAAGTAAACAAAAAAAAATGTTTCGGGCAAAACGAGAATCGAAAGCAAAGAACACAGAAACTGGATGCGTTTCCTGACATCAGCGAAAAGTTTCGACTTTGGGTGCTACCCAAAACCCGAAGATTCGAAGAGTTTCTGTAGAGGAGACACCGAAACCGGCGAAATTCCCCGAAAAAAAACACTCGAAGATCCCCGGATTATAGGATATAAGGGCACTCTTTCCCGGCTTTCCCGTAGCCGCCTCTCCTCTCATTCCAATTTCCTTCCTTCTTTTTTTATATTTTTTTTTTAGCCACTTTATAATTATTTAATTCGTATTTGGTAATAATTTTCTTTTTTTTATTTCACGCGCGAACTCTCGGATCACAGTTACTTTTGGAAGAAGAACTTGCAAAAAAAAAATCAAGGAGCTGGGAGAGACAGGGTTTCTTGGCGTAGGATTTATCCCGAGTTCATCCTTAGACCGCTAGGAGTTTGGCACTTGGTGTGTGAGAGTGTGTGTTTGTAACGAGATGTGTGTGTGTGTAAGCACTTTAAAAAAAATCGCTTCTTAAGCGAAGGGGAGTAGGCAGAGTGGAGCACCGTGGAATGTGCGACCCGCCTCGAACGATGGCGCTCAACCGAATGTCTAAGAACCGTGCTGCGATGCTCCTCGCTGCCGCTGTCGCTGCCGGCTTCGAAGCTCGCGCCGCCGCGCCGCTCGCCGAAGAAACACGAGGCGAAACGAGACGACAAAACTTTTGCGTGCTCTTGTTATTGTTATTGTTATTGCTGGGCACATAACGGCGCTTAAGTGGGGACTGCAAGCCTGTTGCGTCGATGCAGCGCGCTTTTCTCCTCTCCCTCTCTTTTTTGGGGGCTCTTTCTCACGCAGAGTCTATCGCGCCTGCTCTCTCTCACTCTTCTCTTTGTATATCCTTTCTTCCTCTCTCCTCCCCACACACACACTGTGTTCTGTAGGTCAACTGATAAACAAGTGAAATAAACCAAAAGAAAACAAAATCCAGTGCTCTTTGCACACTTTTCACCTTTCGCTGTTGTTGTTTTTGGTTTTTTTTTTTTTTTTGACTGTGCAGCCGGTTTGCCAATTACCCCCCTCACTCCCACTCCTGGAGCAGGAACACATGCAGAACACCCGCTCCTTTCGCACTTTTTCTGGTAAGCTCTTTGCATTTTACACTGTCAGAAAAATATATATAAATATCCTTTAAATATATAGTTAACAATTTTTTTATGAAGCTTTATAGAAATATATAATGATGGTATATTTTTAAATATTATATTAATATTATTAATATTTATTCCTTTAACTCCTTTAATATATCTATATCTACGAATCAATCGATCTGAAAATTAGTACTCATACATAATTTTTGTTATTTATATATTTTAACTAAAAAAAAAGGATATCTCTATAAATAATATAAAAATTGTATATAAAATATTATATATATGAAAACATATAAACCAATTTATCTTAAATCTTGTGGAAAATCTAAACTTTTAACCCATTGCAAGGCTCAATCGTCAATATGGTATTTTTTTTTTATAAATAAAACATTTAGATTAATAGATAATTCCCAGTAATACCCAATTTACATTATGACGAATCTCTAGAAGAATATAACCAAATTAGAACTTATAATGATAGAAAGGAATGTGCAGCTGTTGCTGCATTTGCTTTTTTGTGTTCAGAATATATTTTTTGTGTTTCATGCTCCAACAACAAGGCGGAAAAGTTTTGCTGGAGGGAAAAGCCGGAAAAGTGCATATATACAATGAAAATCAGGTGAATCGGCTCGCTTCAGAATGTGCGGTCATCGGGCTAAAAGGCGATGATGCCGGTTCTTACCTCCCAAATTCCCTGTAATTTTCTGCACCCAGAATTAGTCATAAAATGATTTGCTTTGCAAAACTATGCTCACCTTGCGCATAATTTATTTTACGTTAATATTTTTGTTTAGCTAACATACTTTGGCCTATGCTTTTTACAACTTTCGACGAACTTCATAAGTGTTGTGCATGAAAAAAAGCAAGACTAAGTACCATTAAATAGAGAAAAAATCAAATAAAAATAAAATGTTAGCGGAAAATTCAGGAATTTAATTTTTAGAGACATAAAATATTTTCCTTTTTGTTAAAATAAAATTTGACATAAAACTCTGAATTTAAGCTACTAATATATAATATATATACATATAAATAATATTTACAATTTAATATTTTATTATTTTTGCTTAGCAATTTTGGAATATTTATTTTTTGTATATATTTTCCTTATTTACATTTTTTTCTAAATTGCAAATTAAGAAATAATTGAGCCAATTAACGATAAACACCCAAAAGTAGTTTGACTACTAGTTGGAGCCTGTTCATTCGGTCATAGGTCAGAGGTGGCGCCGTGACCTTCATGTACCCCCCTTTGAACTCCCGAACTCCCGCATTTTCCCACCCAATATCACACCCCACCCCAAACCTACTTCCGTCCTCCCTGCTTCCCGGCTTCTCATTGGCGCCCGACTTCTCCCAATGACCCAATGACATCCCGGACGACGCATGCGTGAGGAGGAACCGGCGGAACGGAGGAAGCCCATCGACCAATGGACACGTTGCGATTTTTCGGGGCCCCCTGTCCTCGCGGAATAACCCAAAAACTGGGTTCGGGAACGGATCGAGAGGCGCCTTCGCAAATGGCCACAGCTTCCGTTCGCTGATAACACGAATCGCTAAAAATACACACACGAGAGATATCGCCTAATTATGCTGACGAAAAAAAGTGACACTGACCTGGGCGGCACTGTTCGAAAAATATATATTATATTTTTTATATATTTATATGCGTACATATGCAAAATAGGGGCATTTTAACAATGGAAAAAAAAGTTTAAGTGGGAATATAAATTTATTAATTATATAATAATTATTATAATATAAATATATATTAATTTAATGGTTTGCAGCTTCAATTAATAATTATTAATATTAAAAATAATATTTCCATAATTATCATAAATTATTTCAACTTAAATTATATGTTTTATTCTTATGATTTCACATTTAAATATTACATTCAATGGAAACAGTTCCTTAGTAATCTTATCAATATTATATATTGTTGTATATTTAATCTTGAAGTTTTTTATGATAGTTTAAAAAGTATGTTTTTAAAATTACAGCAAGGTCTGGTTATTAAATATTAATTATTTAATGGATTAAATTTCGTAGAAAACGAATACTAAAGGCTGATGTTTCTTCCTGGAAATATTCAAGAAAGATTATTAAGTTATTTACAACTCATTACGTAAGCGAATGTTTAAAAGAACTTCTTAGAATATAAAAAATAGTTTAATAAACTATTTCATTTTTAATGTTTTTCGGACTAATTTAATTTCTACTTAATATTCATATACTATATTTCAAATTTAGAACTCATCCAGTTAGATTATTTCTAAGAGACTTCCTAGAATACTAAGCACATTTCAATGACACATTTAATCGTTAATCTTTTTTATTATTTATTTTATTTAAATTTTGTTCAGTGGCCCGAATGATTATTTGGGACATGTGTGTATTTTCGAACGTATGCACATTCCAAGTAAATAATTATTTTTTGGGCGGAGTCAATAGGTGGCCCTTATCGCGACGATGCTGGCTGCTCGAAATTGGAACAAATGCTGGAAACGGAGAAAAGGTTATCGGTGAGAAAAACCCCCAAAAAAAACGTAGTTTTTCAAATTCTATTATTTCACCACCCTTGGGTGTGGTGTAGTGTGGTGAAAGGGCGTGCCTACTGAAGTAGACTGTGTTGGCCGCCTTCGAAAGCTGGCGCTAGTTTGAGAGTCACTGGACAGAAGCTTTTAGCCAAGTCAACAAAAGTTCTGCCAAAAAGCTTGCCAAACGCTAATGTCTAGATTTTTTTTATTTATTTATTTATTTTTTTTTTTTGCATTTATTTTATATATTATATTAATATAAATTTTTGTATATATTTTTTGTTCTTAAGCTTAAGCTTTGAAATAACCATTTCATTTTAGTTTAATTATTTATTTTATCCATTTATATTTTCTACAAAATAACCTTGAATTATTATCCTTGGCACTGTGCTCCTTGTAATTGATTTTACTTGGAATTCAATTTAAAAATATAAAATATATATTTGAATTTATAGTGTTAAATAAATTTATTTCAGCAAGGTTAAGCATAAATTCAGCAATGTTATCATCCAGAAATCATGTCACAAAAATGGATCCATTAAACCGTACGATGCAGGCAGCCTTTTCCATATTTACTTGCAACCTTCGAACTCCTCCAGAAGATCATCCTGGTACCGATCCCGGCTTGAGGACGCATCCTGACCTCGGAGGCTGAGGTTGCTAAGCCAACAAGTTTGCCTTCTGATGATGCTCTGCTGGTCGCCCACGTCGGTCGTCAATTCCTAGCATCACAGCAATCAAATACCAAAACTCCGCCGAGTGTTGAGACCCATCTCTTTTCTTGCTAGGAATATGACAACGAGCAGCAGAACACCATCAGAAGGCAAAGCCGCCGGCTCAAAGACCTCAGCCTCCACTTGCCAAGAGGACATTGATGATGAAATGATGCCACTGCTGCCACTGAACTTGGTTTGCTCCTGGCCCTGGTAGTTGGAAGTTAGTACTTCGCTTTCCCACAAGATTAATTGAAAAGATATTTAAGCACACAGGCTTAAATACACTCTTTCCGTATCTCTCTCTCTCTCTCTCTCTCTAGGCCAGAAAAACAAATACCCTTAGCACAAAGCTATAAAAGAGAGATAGAGTACACTGTAGCACTACAAGTAGCGGCTCTTTTACGAGAGAGTAACCAACCACTCGACCTCAACATTTGGCTGGGTTACCACTAAGAAGATGTTAGAACTAGTTTTCAAATATACTGTCAAGCGAGGGACTTTTTTAATAAAATATATTCACAAACTAATTAATTTATTATTTATTATATATTATAATACGCTGCAAGGGTATGCAAATAATGAAAATATTATTATAATACAAATACTATTAATTATTATTTTTATAACAAACTCAAGGGTCATTTTTACATTTATTCCCCACCAGAAACGTTTTGTCATTAATGCACTCACTTTTACATTTTCCGTGCACTTTTCCGACTTCCGTTACCGAGTTTTCCGCTAAATATTTGCCACCACCACATAGCTACACCACCCACACAACCCTCAGCGATAGGGACACAGCCAGGACCTTCGCCGAGTCACGTGTTTCGCAACGGCAACTTGTTGGCTTTTGCATACGCAAAAAGGGATCCTTTGGCGTGCAGAAGGGGCGGCAGGACTTACGTTGGTTTCACACATTTTCCCCTTTTTTTTTCTATGTGTGTGTTTTGTTTTCGTGTAATTGAAAACTAATTGTTGCGCTGAATAATTTAATAGGAAGTCCGCACATGTCCTATTTTTACGGCACACGTCTCCTTGACGCGAACGGACAATTATTTTTGTATCATATGCAAACTCGGGGAAATGAAATAAATATGGGCGTTGGGAAAATCAAATGTGTTTCCACGAAAAGTGTGCAATTTCACTCACAATTAATCAGAGGCGGGAATACATAATTATCAGGCGAGT